GAGGAAGAACAGGCCTTGGAGGTAGGAGAACGAGGACTCCACTAGCCTGTTACTTAGGGTGGGGCCGGGCTGGGAGGTGGGGTCTTGGGAAAGCAGAGCCGGAACGCCTTCTGCCCCTGGCCTCTGTCAGCCACAAGCTGCCTCTGGAACCCCTGCTGGAACCAAGCTGGAATAAGGATTTTTTTTTTTTTTTTTTGGTTCCTCACATGCCTTCAGGGACAAGTGCTTATTCTGCTGAGCCATCTCCTCAGCCTGCCTTGCACTCCTCATCCTCCTGCCTCTGTCTCCTGAGTAGCTGAGGCTACACCAGTGCACCTTTTCAGCTGGCGTGTGGCACAGGAGATCGAGCCCAGGGCCTGCAGGCTGAGCTGCACCCCAGCCCATGTGCGGCTTTTGAGATGGTCTGCTAAGCTGTTAGGTTGCCTGGGCTGGCTTGGACACATAATCTTTTTGTTTCAGCCTCCCAGAGGCTGGGGTCCAAGTGTGTGCCCTGGGCTCAGCCTCTGCTCTGAGGGACTGGACGATGCAGGCAGCCAGCGGGTGGTGACGGGAGGGCCAAGTTCAGGAGGGCACAGCTCAGGAGACGACCGCAGGGTCAGCGCGCCACCCACCCGCGGCCCCACAGGAAGACGGTATAGGTGCTGCCTCTAGGCCACAGCAGGCCTGGGGCTGCAGGGGCAGGGAAACCCCATGTCCCACAGGGACACCAGTGGACCTGGAAAGCGGGGACTCACTCTGTGTCCTCTGAGGGCTGGTCAGTGCCGGACAAACTGGCATGAGGGCCTGCAGACATGCTTTCCAGCTGGGTCGCTATGGCACCGATGTTGGTGTCAGCCACAACCTGGGGACAGAGGTGGGAGTCCATGAGAGGAGCAGGCACTGCCCAGGGCCCAGTCCTCACCCAGTGTGCGCTCTGCTGAGGATGGACCTCGGCCTTCCCTATGTGTACCCCAGTGACACCCGACACACCCCTCCCTGTGCAGGCCACCCCAGTCTTCTGGACCCAGGGCTTGCTCTGCCTTTCCACCTTCTTAGTTGCTCGGTTCCCCTGTCACCTCTGGGGCCGAAAGCTCTCCGAGGAGGAAGACTCTGAACTCCCATCTCCACCTCCCGACCGGGCTCCTCCTGGGGTGTCCTCCCCATGCAGTCCGAGTCTCTGGCTCCCCACCCCTCCATACCTCACAGATACCTGAGGTCACTGTGTTCTGCTCTTATCTCTGCACCCGTGACCCCGAGGCCTCGAAAGGGGACCCCTGTGCAAGGTGCTCTCCCTGCTGCCCTGTACCCCCTGGAGGACCCACCACACCCAGGGCCGCCCCTGTGGTTTCCCAAGGCTCAGCTGTGGTCCCCCCTGGGCTTGGGACAGCGCATGCACGGAGTTCCTGCTCGGCCGCTGTGCCCAGGCCGCCCCAGAGGCTGTGCTGCAGAGAAGAGACTCGGCCATGCGGCCCAGCTCCGGCTCCCCATCGCGGGCTGCAACCCTGCTGTCACCAGGGGCAGCACCGTACATGGCTCAGCCGCGCTCACCAACGCCCCCGCAGCTGCCCACCCTTATTGGCCCGGCCTTTGTCCACCCACTGTAGCCCTCGCAACCCATCGGCCTGGCCCGCAGCCACATTTTCCAAAACACACAGGACCGGCCGCTCCGGACTCCGCGGTCTCGCGCTGGGAAGCAGACCGGCGCCCCTGGTGGGAGTAGCTGCGCCCTGCTCCAGCTCGGTCAGGGCCCGGGGCTGGAGAGTCAGCCCCAGGGGCCGGCACAGAGGAAGAAGTCCAAAGAAAGGCATCAACTTGGCACCGTGGCCTCATCTGGCACCCACATGTCCCTGGAGGCCTCCGAACAGGGTCCTGCTGGGCTTGTCGTCCGGCTACGTTGGTCACTAGGGTGCCAGGTGAGAGGCAGGGGCATTTTTGTGACTCGGGGTCCCCAGCAGGTCTTGATGGCCCAGTCCAGACCACAGCAGCTCCCGCAGGTCCCTGCTAGCTGCCTGGCGCTGGAGGAGGACTGGGGTGTCCTCATACTCCAGCTGCCCCGTGACCTGTCCGTTTGTTCTCTGTGTCATTTTGAGTCCAGCCACAGGCCTAAGCATTCTGGGAAGACATGGAAACGGCCCTGGAAGACTCTGCACTCAGCCCGGGACAGTGCCAGCCTGACCCCAAGGCCAGCAGCACAGCCCTCGCTCTGCCGTGGCGTCCTCCTGGGTAACCGCAATGTCACTTGCACCGTGGACTCCACTTCTCAGTACGGCCACCCTGCGGCTCCATCCCTTCCTGATCATACCTGCACGTGTCTCTCGTCCGTCGGGGTGAAAGCGGAGCCTGCCCTGGCCTAGGACTCCTCACGGTTATGTGCGCCTTGTCGTGTTCATGCTGGGCCAGCAACTACGCCATAATTATGTTCACTTTTCCACACACACGTGTTGTTCTCAAGGCTTACACTTGGTGTGCACTTCACTTTGTCCGCAGCTGTCATGGGAAGCCCCACGTGTAGACTCCAGGGGACCTCGAGCTCCTGATCCAGTGATAAATATTAGACCATCGGTCCCTCTTCTTTCCTCTTCAATCCAGAGGCCTTCTTCCCCGAGTCTCCTTCCTTGCGTTCCAGGGTTGACAAGCGCTCTCTGCCTGTGGGTGTGCGAGCTCCGGCCTTTCCGCTCTCGCTGAAGAGGCCCGGCGCTGTTCTGGAACCTCTTGTTCTTCTGTAGGCAGTGTGTGCGGTGGCTCTGAGGTTCAGAAAGTGTCATCCACCCTGCTCCTTGATTAGGGCCTTGGGCGTCTCCTCTGTGCCCTGCTGGCCTTGAAGGGCCTGGTGCACAGCTGCCTCAGACAGAGTGTCCCCGGCAGCCCCGCTCTCCGAGGCCGTCCTGAGCCGCCAAGCCTGTGCCCTCATCTCACCTGTTTTCGTTCACTGTGAGAAGCTGCAGGGAGCTGTGTGATCTCTTGGAGGAGCTTGTCATGCTGGTTTTCCTAATGAACTCAGCTGTTCTCTTGGTTGAAGGAGCTCGGGACCTTACTGTCACTGAGGATGGCTGCGGTTCACTTTGGGGGCTTCAGAGGGGAAGAGGGGGCACGGCTCAGCCTCCTGGAGGAGCTTTTCGTATTGCTTTCCTGATGGGAGCTCGGCTGTTATCGTCAGAGGGGCTCGGGAACTCACTGTCACAGAGGATGGCTGTGGTACCTTTCAGGGGAGCTCTGGTCCTTCCTTTCAGTGTTGCTTCCTGGCTCCAGCGCAGGCCCTCAGCCTGCTGGCACAGATCCTGCATCCCAGTGGCACAGACGCCCTGGCTTCCACCGCTGACCTTGGGCCTTCCTAGTGCAGTTCCATGAAATGGGCCGCAGGAAGCACTGCTGTGCGCTCCAGGCCTCCAGCTGGACTCGTGGGAGGCTCTGTTATGGGCTGTAGGTCTCCAGCTGGATTTGTGCAGGACATGGCTGTGGGAGCCAGGCCCGCAGCTGGAGCCTTTGGTCTTCAGTGTGTAGACAGATGTCCTGCGCTCGTTTGTATAGGGCTCTCTGGGTGACTATTATAAAACCATCTTATAATTAAGTGTCCTATATTGTGCTGTTTTCCCTTGCAAAAACCCCAAACTATAGCAGAAAGCATGAATGAATCTGTACTTAGGGGATTTTTTTTCTTTTACTTTTTTTTTTTTTTTTTTTTTTGTTACTGGGGATTGAACCCGGGACGTTGGGCTTGCCAGGCAGGTGCTTATGTCACTGAGCTGTATCACCAGGTTTTTTACTTTTTGAGACAAGTTCTCCTTATGTAGCCCAGGCTGGCCTCTAACTCATGGCGATTCTCCTGCCTCAGCTTCCTGAGTGCTGGGAGTGCAGGGGTATGCGCTGAGCCCAGGCAAGGTGCCTTTCAGATTGCGTCAGGGCTGCACTTGCTCACTGTGCCTGTGGGGTGCTGACTGGCCCCTGCCCGCTGTGCACACCCCACCAGGCAGCCTGGCCCACGTTTTTCTGTTCCTCTGTGAAGGAGGCGGTGTGCAAAGGCGACATCTGTGTGGAGAAAGAGCAGTGGCACCCAAGTCCCCACAGGGCGAGCAGTCGGTTCCTCTGCTGCCCCTGCCCTGCGAAGCCTGGTGGCTCGAGGCGTGCCAACTGCAGCACACTGGGGTCAGCAGCCTCAGAGGATGAGTGGGTGGCCAGCCAGCCCCAGGGCTTGGGGGACAGGGAGTCACTGTCCACGCAGCGAGGCCCAGGCCTGGCCATGTGGCCTTCTGGTTCGTGTCTCATCGTGATGGGGCTGGGGACCTATGCATTAGCTCCCCGGGAGTTGTGGTCAGGGCCCCACGGGGTCTAGCGCCCTGCATGCACATGGAAAGCCATTTCCCTTTGTGTGTCTGTGGGGTGCCTTGGACCCAGGCCCCTGAGATGCTGGAGCCAGGCCCTGGGGTGGGCACTCTGGGAATGGTTTTCCATCCAGGTTCCCACTGTTGGCATGGCGCCTGCTCTGTGTACACACAACAGTGCTAGCAGCCACCCAGGCTGCACAGGAGGCAACCTGCGTTCCCAGCCTCTGGGGACCAGAAGAGCGTGCTCAGCGGCCTGGCCTGCCTCTCCTTGCGAACAGAATTGCAGCACAGTGGGAAAGTTTTCTGTGTCAAAATAATTTTGAGCTGTCAGCCTCCTCCCTCCTCCCGCCCATAGGCCTGTAGGTGGCCACGCCCCTGCCAGCCACTGTGCATGGGCTGTTGCTTGGTTCCCACAGGACGGCACGGAGTGTACCTGCAGGACAATGCGACCAAAGGCGTTCTTCAGCATTGCCACCGCATCTGCGTGTGACCACCCATCCAGAGGTTGTCCGTTGATGCTGACGATTCGGTCCCCGACCTGGGGGACAAGGGCGGAGAAAGTCACTGTCACGAAGACAAGTGCTCGGCTGTGTTCCCAAGCTGTGTGAGGTGCAAGGCAAGGGCTTTCAGCTTTCCCTCACAGAGAGCCACCAAGAAGCAAGAGGCTCAGGTCTGACCGCCCGGAGTGCAGCAGTGGCTTTGGTGTGGGATGGCCGGGTGTGTGAACACTGCCGCTCCCTGGGGCTTGAGGAGGATGCAGGGCAGTTTCTGCTTTGTGTTTCCACCTCAGTCAAGATGAAGGGCAAAGCAGAAAGGCCATAACTTCTTCTTTTTTTTTTTTTTTGTTGGGTTAGGGGATGACTCTAAGGCCAGCCCTGGTGAAAAGCCAATGTGGGCAGGGGCAGGTGCCAAGGAGGGCGGTGGCGGGGACGAGTGGGTGGGGGTATGGCTGACTTCACCAAGAGGCTGTAGCTGCTTCTGCTGCCGAGAGGCTCAGCTACAGACAGGAGTGTTTCCATGCCCGAGCCCCATGAGCCTCAGGTTGGGAGCCCCCTGGTGTGGCTGTGGCCCTCGCTGCCCCTGACACGGCCACAATCCCTGGCCCGCTTACTTTGAGCCTCTGCGTCCTTGCTGCCACCCCGCTGGCCTGGATCATGGCGATGAAGACCGGGACGTCCCCCAGGGGGCTGCCTTTGCCACCCGCGATGCTGATCCCAAGTGCGTCGCTGAGCTCCTGAGGAGGAGGAGGAAACTGTGTGTTAACAGAGAGCCCCGGGAAGTCCTGCGGCTACTCGAAAGCTCTGAAGCCCTGCCGACACCCAGGAGCTCGGGCGGGCAGGACACCCTGTGCTCAGCTCGGTGCTGAGGAGTCCCTGTGTGCCACTGGTCCCTTTACGTCCTGCATGGGGCGCCTGAGCGGCCCTGTGGTGGAAGGCACGTGGACACAAAAGGCCAGCGTGGTCTACGTGTGGCCAACAGGAGCAGCTGCGCGTTCACAGGCGCGGAGGGCAGCGCTGACCAATGGCGTGGACGTGATTTGCTAAGTGATTCACAGTGGCCGTCTCTGCTCTGCTGCGTTTCTCTAGGCCCATTTCCAAGGCCTGTGTTCTCCAGTGATTTCTGTAGCAGAAAAACCAGCATCAAAGCAAGTGGAAGACTCTGGCACTGAGGCGACTTCTGTTAGCTAGCGGTGCAAATCACCAGCCAGGTTTGAGCTCAGTTTAAATATGGTTTGTGAGGGCTGGGGCGATAGCTCAGTAGAATAAGCACTTGCCTAGCAAGGGCAAGGTCCTGAGTTCAATTCCTGGTACTACAAACAAACAAATATATATATATGGTTTGTGAGTGGGCAGCTCACCGCAGGTTCTACTCGATTGGTTCCGCGGAATACGCGCATGCGTCATCTGCTGCCAGGCAGGTTTGCACAGGGACTTCCGGGAGGGAGGGGGTCTGAGAAGTGCGGGTAGAGCCGGAAGTGCCCGCGCGGGCAGGCGGCCCGAACACGAGGCCTCGAAGCCCTCGAAGCAGTCGCAGTCGCTGCGGATGGTAAAACTCACGCCGGACTCGGAAAGCTCGACTCGCACATTGTTCAGAGGGGCACGCGGGCCTGGCAGCCAGGAATGGCTGCGTGTCGGGACATGAGCGCCGCCGCACGCCGTGACTGGGACTGGGGATTGAACTCAGGACTGCGCTTGCCAGGGAAGTGCTTATTCTACTGAGCCATCTCCCCGGCCCCTGGGCTTCTAACTTTTGCTATAATATGCCTACAAGTCTGCTATTCTGTAAGTGTATGAACACGTGCTCACACCCAATAGGCCACGTGGAAGGAAAACACGAACTTTGTGCAAACAAACGCACGCCAAGCAGAGACAGTGAAAGCACGACTTACCCTGAAGATCTCCACTGTCCTGGGCTCTGTGTCTGTGCCTGTGAACACAGCGGCAGACGTGAGCCTCCGTGGCTCCGGGCACCCAGCCTGCCTGCAGCGGTCTCATCCTCAGGCCTGTCACACAAGCTGTGCTGCAGCTGGCATAAGGCCGTGCCCATGTGGGCTGTGACCCGGGGCTCAGAGGGGCAGTGGTCAGTGTCTCCTGCTGTGGTCTCTGCACTAATAAAAGCCATCCTCCACCCAGTGAGAGGCTCAGAGACCCTGTCCTGGCCTCTCTGGACAATGACATCTGATCCCCCAGGGACCTGTTCCCTCCCTCTGTCCATCTAAACATGGGCGGTCCTGAGTTACTCCTGCCTGAGCTGTGGTCACTGGAGGCTCCTGTGGCCTGTGACGGGGCCGACTCCTCTCAGGCACGCCTTTCAGAAGGCAGCCTGGGCTGGCTGGCCACGCTCAAAGACTTAAAGCTGTCTGGCTGAAAAGACAGCATGCTTCTTAACAACAGGAACATTTTCAAGCTGGGTGACGGCATGTCTTGGGCACATGTTTGGGACAGCTGCTACCTGGGCTCCTCTGCGAAGGACCTGCAGCTCTTCGGGCTCCGACCAGGCTCTGCAGGCCTGCAAGGACTGGGGCCAAGGCGGGTGGGCAGCTGCCATGTGTGCCACGGGGGTCCCCCTGGAGGGCAGAGCCAGCAGTCACAAGGTGTGGGCCCCAGAACCATGCTGTCACCGCAGCGCCAGGCGCTGGGGTCTCCTCACCATGCCACAGAAGGTGCTAAGGGGGCCAGGCAGGAAACTTGGGTGGCCAGCTCCTCTGCCCACCAGAACGCAGTGGCCCCATCCTCATGAGGGACAAGGACACTCAAGGGGCTGTGTGTCCCTCCCAGCTGGCCCCATGGTGCTGGCAGTGTCAGTCAAGCACGTGGCCGCCATTGGCACTCTGCCCTGCACATCTGTTGATTCATGTATTTGGTACAGGGACTCACTACGCAGCTTGGACTCGCACTGATCCTCCTGCTTTCAGCCTGCCCAGCACTGGGATTACAGGTGTGTGCTACCACGCCCAGATTTGGGGGTCAGCTCAGTGCACCTGGGGGCGGGGCCGGCAGAGCACTGCCTGCACGTCTGCTGAGCTAAGCATGAGAAACCTGGTGGACAGCAGCTGCAGCCTCAGCTGCAGGAGAATGCAGCGAACTTCACGGGGAGAGGCGCATTCCTATGGACGTGCTGCTTTCTATTCGCAAACATTTCCTAGCACCAGCAGTAGTTTAATCCAAGGTGCTGTACCTCTAGCACTTGACCTCTCGTTCATCTAAATAAATACTTGAGGTCTGTACATGTATTTATTGTGGTGAGCAGGTACAGACTGTTCTGTACACAGGGAAGCTTCTCTCTAATGCAGACGGTGTCACCAATAATGAATATTTTTTTCTGCCAAATTACCAAGGTTTTGCCTGCTTTTATTGTGTTGGTACATTTTATTTTTTTTGGCGGAACTGGGGATTGAACTCAGGTCCTTGTGCTTGCCAGGGCAGCGCTTATTCCACTGAGCCATCTCCCCAGCCCCAAAATGGAAGAAGGATTTTTTTTTTTTTGTTCCTCGAATGCCTTCAGGGCATGTTTGGCCAGCGGGAGAGTTGTGAGGTTCGAACTCCAGCAACCCGAGGCTGACAGCTTTATAGAAGCAGCCACTTAAAGGACTGAGCTAGGCCCAGGCCCCCGTTTTGCCTGCTTTTAAATTTGAACCAAAGTATAAGATCAGTATTGTCACTTGATATGTTTTAACTTAATCCATTTCAACTCTACGCTGCAAGTTGTTTAATATTTTGATAGTCCTTGAAAAGTTCACGAATCTTGGCTCTTCTGTGCTGCTGGGGACTGCGCTCAGGGCTCTGCACAGGCTAAGCAAGGGGCCTGCCACGGCACCACAGCCCAGCTGGGGCGATTCCAAACACACCGTAAGGTTGAAAGAACTCTAGAGACTCAACCGTAATGTCTAGATTCCACAATTAAACACAGCTGTATTTTCTTTTATCATATATCATCTCTCTCGGTTAATTAAGCTGTTCTTTAAAAATTCTTGTAGATGAGGGCTGGTGAGATGGCTCAGTGGTCTAAAGCACCTACCTAGAACAAGCTT